GGGTGACCTTGGCAGAGGAGGATTTTAACAATCAAGTGAATAGGATGACGAATTCTGTAGAAACCAGTCATTCTCTCCCCAGCCACTCCTGTCATTGCACAATGGGCTCATGAACAAAGTGGTCATGGTGGTAGGGATGGAGGTTATTCATGGGCTCAGCAACATGGACTTCCACTTACCAAGGCCAACTTGGCTATAGGCACTGCTGAGTGCCCAATCTGCCAGCAGTAGAGACCAACATTGAGTCCCCGGTATTGCATCATTCCTCAAGGTGATCAGCCAGCAACCTGGTGGCAGGTTGTTTACACTGGGTCACTTCCATCACGGAAAGGGCAGTATTTCATCCTTACTGGGATAGACACTTACTCTTGATACAGATTTGGCTTCCCTGCATGCAATGCTTCCTCCAAAACTACCATCCGTGGGCTTACGACATTCCTTAACCACCGTTATTGTATCCCACACAGCATTGCCTCAGATCTAGGGACTTGCTTCACAGCAAATAAAGTGCAGCAACGGGCCCATGCTCATGGAACTTACTGGTCCTACCATGTTCCCCATCATCCTAAAGCAGCTGGCTTGATAGAACAATGGAATGACCTTTTAAAGACACAATTACAGAGCCAGCTAGAGGGCAATACTTTGCAGGATTGGGGCAATGTTCTCCAGGAGGCTGTATATGCTCTAAACCAGCATCCAAAATATGGTGCTGTTTCTCCCATAGCCAGGATTCATGGGTCCAGGAACCAAGGGATGGAAATGGGAGTGATACCACTCACTATTATCTCTAGTGAACTACTTGCAAAATTTTTGTTTCCTGTCCCCATGATCCCATGCTCTGCAGGTCTAGAGGATTAGTTCCAAAGGGAGCAGTGTTCCCACCTAGACATACAGCACTGATTAGAATGCCACCCAGCCATTTTGGGGGTTCTCATACCTCTGGATCAACAGGCAAAGAAGGGAATTACTGTATTGGCTGGTGTGATTGATCCTGATTACCAAGGGGAAATTGGACTGATATTACATAATGGAAGTAAAGAAGAGTATGCCTGGAATACAGGAAATCCCTTAGGGAGTCTCATAGTACTACCATACCCTGTGATTAAAGTCAATGGAAAACTATAGCAACCCAATTCTGACATGACTACTAATGGCCCACATCCTTTAGGAATGAAGGTTTGGATCACCCAACCAAGCAAAGAACCGAGACCAGCTGAGGAACTTCCTGAGGGTAAAGGGAATACAGAATAGGTGATGGAAGAAGGTAGTTCTAAGTACCAGTTATGACCAAGTGACCAGCTGCAGAAACGAGGACTGTAATTGTTATGAGTATTTCTTTTTTCTTTTATTATATGTGTGTGTGTGTATAAAATGTTTTTGTTTTCTTCCCTTCTTTATTTCATCACTTATAAAATATAAGCTGTAAATGGGGCTGGTGTGTTTTCGTTGGACACGTGTTAGTTGTGTCATGTTAGGCACAAGTATGACTTTATAATTGTCTTTATTTAGGAGTCCTTAAGGAGATGTGTACAGGTGCCAAGGTGACAAGGAGAAGACTGTGATAGTTAATGTTATGTGTCCACTTGGCTAGGCCATGATTCTCAGCATTGTAATTATCCTCCATTTTGTGATCTGATATAATTATCCCCCATTTTTGTGATATAATGCAGTCACCTCCATGATGTGATCTGATTGATCAGTCAATCGGTTGTATGGGGAGTTTCCCCAGAGGTGTGGCCTGCACCCAGTACATATATATGGACATTTTGGCAAAGCTCACTTGCTTCTTCTGGAACCTGTTTCTGACTCATCATTATCTGACCTACAGTTCTTGGGACATGAGCAAGCAACTTGTCATCTGACTTGCCACCTTGGAGATTCGTTGGCTTCCGCAGCCCTGTGAGCCAGCAGCCTGCCGTCTAACCTGCTGATTCTGGGTTTGTCAGTTCCTGTAACCACATGAGTCAGGAGAAGCCTCCAGCTGATGCCTAGCCCAGAGTCCATGGGTTTTTCACTAGTTTTGCTTCTCTGCAGAACCCAGCCTAAGACAGATAGGTACTGCTAGTCCTTTCTTTTCAAATGGGTAATCGAGGCATAGAGTAGTTAAATAATTGTCTAAGGTCACACAGCAAGGATGGCAAAGCTGGGACTGCATCTCATGGTCTCTGGATCCACAGTCCATACCTTAACTCTACACTACCTTCAGCAAAGCCTGTTAGCATTTTCCTTTGGGCTTCTGAACTTTGTTTTCATTCTGACCTCTTTAGATGAATAATTTCTGAGAGACCATACCGTCACACAAAAGATCTAATTATTCCTCTTGTTTCAGTGTAATTATTAATACTTCCCCCTTTATCTCTCAGAAGTGAGCTGGTTTAGACAATAATTTACATAGCCACCCTAGTTATAAAAGCATTTTCAGACCAGCACCTCAACTTCCCAATCCCAGGATAATTGAATGTACCTTTTATGTGTTCCCACTGCTTTCCCTTTGAATCCTTCTCTTCATTTCATTGCTCTTATTTGTTTACAGTCTGTCTCCCTGTCTTCTTTTGTAAACCTTTCAGGATACATATCCCAAGCATTGATCACTATTTCTGGCATATAGCTCATCTTTATCAAGTATGTGTTAAATAAACTTAAGAAATAAATGAAGAGCTCACTGTTGCTAGAACAGTGACCAAATGCCACAGTGATAATTCCAAATTATCAAGAGGAGATAAATGCATCTCCTTCTGGCCACAGTACATGGTGATCTCAAAGGCTTCATGATTCATGTCACTTTGGGTAGTCCTTGTACTCACACAAACACATCAAGTTCCAATTTGACTTCAGTGTCTGAGGTTTAAATCACAGGAATTGTCATTCTGGCTTGAGCCTTGGTCATTTTCACAGAGGCCTTGACATCATGTCATTTCACCCTTGAACATTCCCTTTTGGGACCAGATTAAAACCAGGTTATTTTCCCATCCAAGGTTTCATCTGCCCCTCAACATATTTCCAATCCCCTTTCACTCATGCTGCTGACATCCCTTCAGTCCTTGCACTGAAGCCTGACTGATGTAAATGCACCAAGAACATAGTCAATGGCTAATAATCAGAATCCCATAAATCCATTGCGATTGAGTCAATTCTGACTCATAGCGACCTTATAGGACAGAGTATACTTGCCCCATATGGTTTCCAAGGAGAAGCTGGTGGATTCAAACTGCTGACCAATTTGGTTAGCAGCTGATCTTTTTGTTAGCAGCCATAGCTCTTAACCACTGTGCCGTCAGGGCTCCAATAATCAGAATTAGCTGGGGTTAATTTAATAGGCTTTGGAAGCAAATGAGTATGGTTGTGGGGTCTTTTTCTTTGTGTAACTGGTGATGTTAGACAGAACAGGGTGAGACAAACACTCTGTCTACCCTCCCCCAACTAGAATGTTTCCAGAGATAAAGCTGTTATTTGGAGCAACAGCCTATGCCTCTGTGAGAAATAGGGGAAAAGTGAGCACCCTCCTGTGCCACATTCCTTGATGGTGGGGAAGGTAGCGGAAGATCAGCCCATCTTTAAATAAACATTGGTTTTCTACTTGAATAAAGCATTCTGAGGTGTGTATCATTCAAGAGCAGTGTTTTTCAGGCTGTAATGTGGCATAAGTCAGCTGGAGAACCTTGTTAAACAGCAGGTTCTGATTCAGTTGAACCAGGATGCAGGAGGGGGACTGAGATTGTACATTTTTAACAAGCTCCCAGGCAACACTGATGCTGCTGGTACACAGACCAAACTTTGAATAGCCAGGTTCTCGAGAGAGTGTGGAGTCCCTGGGTGGTACAGTTAACCCGTTCAACTGCTAACTGAAAGGTTGGAAGTTCAAGTCGACCCAGAGATGCCCTGGAAGAAAGCCCTGGCTATCTACTTCCAAAACATAAGCTATTGAAAATGGTATCGTCATGAGTCAGAATTGACGTGAAGGCAACTGGTACTCGTTAGAGAGAACTTACAGAACTATGATAGCATTAGTGGGGTCATCTGATCCACAGAAAGATGTCTGTGAAGAGGAAGCTGAAGAAGATCTGCAATTTGGCAAAATCGCAGAGGCTGGGACTGAGGGTTGTTCAGAGAGAACATGCAGAGCTGAGCAACTCAGCTATTCAGAGGTAAAAGCAAGAAATTTTGTGCCTTGACTAAAAGTGGAAAAAGGCTTGTAGAAGAGGCTTTCAACTATTCTCCATTATCCATTATTTTTTTCTTTTTCATTAATAATAGAATTCTCAAAGTTTTCACTAGAAAGATCTAGAGATTCTGTTCCCGTCCTCTATTGCAGCAAGATGTGGTTATGTGACACACCACTTATCTAAGTTCTCTGAAAAACTCACTTAAGTGTCTTGGCAGCAGGTAACATAAACAAAAAGACAATCATGGTCTTCACCTCCTCACTTGATATTTTATCCTAAAATGATTCTAATTGGAAATTTGCCCTCCAAATCTAATAGTCAATATTCTGTTCTCATTGACTTCTCAGCTACAGTTGTGAGAATGACTACTCCTCAATTCTGGAAACACTGCCTTTTCTAGGATTCTGACATGTCCAATGGCCACTTCTCATTTTCCTTTGCTGCCTCCTCTCCCAGATCTCTAAATCTTGGCATGCCCATTCATCTTAGAAAGACATACATGCTACACCATCACCAAAATGTTCAAAATTCTGCCAACCATGCTGATTTGTAATCATTTTTAGTAGTCATCTAAGCTCCAGATACTATAGCCAAAAGATGAGAAGTTTGGTTTTGGATATTTTAAAATATCTTTTCAGCTCCAATGTTCTGAGATTCTAAGTCAGTCAACAGAGATCTGAACCGTTTATTTATCAATTCACATTTCCCAAATCCATACGAGAGAGAGAGGAAGATTGTCATGGGAATGTGAGTTACATCAGTGATTAGTTATATAACCCATCTATTTGAGACATTTTCAGGTTACCTGCTAACTCCTTGGTCTCAAGAGATGTGCTGTCATTTCCTGTTTGCCTCTGAGCCAGGTTGGAAGTTTCCTGAGATGCAGAGTTTCTTGCCAAGCCTCCGCAGAGTACCCTGAACCTCCTGGTTCCTTAGGCTGTAGATTAGTGGGTTTAGCATAGAAAATGGCAACTTGGCGGTCCTGATCCAGATCATAGCTGGAGGATGGCCAGAGGTACATGTGGATCACAGAGCCACATAGGAGCAGCACAACCAGGATATGAGAGCTGCAGGTGGACAAGGCTTTTCGGAGGGCAGCAACAGAGTGCATGCGGGCTATGGCAACACCAATGCGGGCATAGGAGCCTAAAATGAAGAACAAAGGACTGACCACCACAGCTACACCCTCTGTGAAGATTAGCGTTTCATTGACCACTGGTCTGGTGCAGGAGAGCTGTAGCAGGGGCATGATATCACAGAAGTGGGTGACTTGGTTGCCACAGAAGGTTAAGCGGGTGACCAACACACTATAAAGGAGACTATTGAGGCTGACAACCACCCATGAGGTCAAGGTTATGCGCAGACAGAGGTGGCGGCTAACAATGGCAGAGTATCTTAAAGGATCACAGATGGCAACATAGCGGTCATAGGCCATGGAAGCCAGCAGGTGGCCTTCCATGCTGCCCACAGTCACAAAGAAAAACAACTGGACCATGCAGCAGTTAAAGGAGATGGTTCTATTCACAGATAGTGTGTGCACCAGCACCTGGGGCACAATGATGTTTGTCAGAAATATGTCAATAAAGGAAAGCTGGCTGAGAAAGAAATACATGGGTGTCTGAAGCTTGGTGTCTGAGTGGGCAACAATTACTAATAGGGCATTGCCAATAACTGCTACCAGGTACATGGTGAGGACAATCCCAAAAATGACTGGCTGCATCTCTGACCAGCTGGACAGGCCCAATAAGAGGAATTCAGTCACTTCTGTCCTGTTTCTTGTGGCCATAAGACACAATCCACATCACCTGCCAAGAAGAATGCTAGGATCAAATAATGCTACAATTTACTCTTGGGATAGTTTAAGGGAAATATCTTTTCTTTTTTTTGTATGTATACTAGTTTCCAAAAAAGTTTTTTTTTTTTTTTTGATGTCTCTCCCTTGCCAGTATCTTTCTATCTATCCACCCTCCCATCCTTCATTTATTCCAGGTTCAATTATTCAGCACTTAAAAAAAAAAAAGCAGTTGTCATTGAGTTGATTCTGACTCATGGCAACCCCATATACATCAAAGTAGAACTGTGCTCCATAGGGTTTTCAATGGCTGATTTTTTAGAAAAGATCACAGGCTTTTCTTCCTAAGTGCCTCTGGGTAGACTCAAACCTCCAACCTTTCACTTAGCAGCTGAGCACACATTAACCATTTGCACCACCCAGGGACCCCACTCAGCACTTATAATCTCTCAATTTAAAAGATGCTAATAAGTATCTTCTGGCTTTGTCTACTATGGTTCTCACCCTCATTTTTTACACACATTCAAGTAACTACCTCAGAATGGAGTAATGGGAAATAAACTTTCTGAGTCTTTGTGTCTAAAAATATTTTCGTTTTGCACTCACACTTGATTGCTAAACACATTACTCCTTTATTTCCTGTCATCTAATATTGCTGATAAGAAGTCTGATGCCAGTTTGGTTCTTTTCCTTTTCAAGTGTTATTCTTCCTGGCAAGCATTTAGGATTTTTATTCCGGGTATCCCTAAATTGTACAAAGATGTCGCAAAATATAGTTCCTTTTTAATTCTGTGATAAACTTAGTAGATCCTTTCTAGTAAGGGTCTACTAAGATGCATGCCCATCTTGAGCTCCGAGAAATTTCTTGTATTATTTCTTTAATTATGTATTCCCTCAACGTCCTCTCTTCCATTTCTTCTGGAAGAACTACTAATGGGATATTAAGTTAATCCAATATTAAGTTAATTATATTAATTTTCTTTAAAGCTATTCATCAAATAATAAATTCCTAATTAGTAGAAACTCTTACTATTAGGATATTAAACCTCTTTGATTCATTAGCTAAGTCTCTCTCTCTCTTTTTTTTTCCTTATGTTTTCTATCTTTTTGTCTATCTAGGTTCTGGGATATTTGTGATTTGTCACTGATATTTCTTTCCTTCTTGCATTCATAGATTTAATTTCTCTCAGCTCTTTCTTGTTTCATTTATTCCTTTATCATAGTGTCCTTTTCTTGTTTTGTGGATGCAATTCTCTGAGAATACACATTTTTATATTATCTTTTCTTCCTGGAATGATCTAAATTTTTTCTGGAGTTTGTTATTCCTTTTTTTTTTTTTTTTCTGATGGTGACTTTTTTCTTTTATGTTTGGTTTGTCACATTTGGTAACTTGGGGTTGCTTGTTCTAAGTAGCATGTGTCAATTTCTTCTGTTGTTGTATTTGTATACATGTGTCCCCACTGTACTCTCCCAGGAATAGAACAATTGACTATATGATCATATGAGGAGCTTGCCTTTATACTATTTCTCCCAAATAAAAAGGACTTTACTCTAGGATACTAATAGTCAATTACATGGGGTCGCCATGAGTTGGAATCAGTAACAACAACAACAGTAATTCTTTCTCTTCCTACAGAAGAGATAGCAGCTTTTCATTGGAGGATAAAATGCTAGGCTTTCATGATCTGAGTTTTGGCGACGTGGGAAGAGAGAGGTATGTTTGTGGGATGGATGACTTAGTTGTACTGTGGGCAGGCTTTATCATTTCCATTAGCCTCTTTACAGTCTGTACCCATTCTACATCTGCCCTCTCGCTGTCCTTGATACAGGCTCCTTTTGGCTTGGAAGTCCCCACTAGTGAGATAAACACTCTCTTCCATTCAATCCTCTCCTGAGTATTCTAAGGAATCCTCTTTCTGTTTCTCTTTCTCCTAGAAATTAACTGAAATATCACATATACTGATTATTTTCCCTTATTGTTATGGGATTTTTCCTTTATTATTATTTTGCTGATACAGCTAGAGGAAAGGAAAAACAAATGCATATGATAAATTTGATGCCTTTAACCAAAAGCCAAATACTTAGGCATGGCTTTGGTTTCTAAAATGTCTATTTCCACTATAGGAATATATCCACAAAAAGGATTAGATACTTGAGTCCACTAGTCAGGGACATTTCCCCTGAATAGTGCTGAAATCACTCAAAATTGATTGCCTTTTGCCTCTTTACAGGATATCATGTCAGACATTCACATTGTCTTTCATTGCAAAGACATTCAATTCGTTAGACTCCAGCTTTCTTTTGCATCTGTCACATTTTCCTAAATCACGTCATAATCCTTTTAGCTGGACTTTTGTTTTCCAAAATCTTTTCAGTCATAAACTTTCAGACTATTATTAATTAATGGATCACATGTATAAATATTTAATATCCAGTATTATGTATTGCAGAGCCCTAGCGGCACAGTAGTTAAGAGCTCGGCTGCTAACCAAAAGGTCAGCAGTTTAAATCCACCAGCTGCTCCTTGGAAACCCTATGGAGCAGCTCTACTCTGTCCTATAGGGTCGCTATGAGTCGGAATCAACTTGACGGCAACAGGAATTTTTTTTTTTTTTTTTGGTATTATGTATTGTTTCTTATACAGAAATTCTACAGTTCTGAAAAACCTTATGCTATTCCCTTAAATGTCAATAACATTCAACATAATATAACATGAAAACTGCTCTTAACAAGAAATGAACAAGGTGATTTCAGAACACAAAGGACTGAGGATGGATTAATAAACATGTGAAAGAATGGTGTACTTGTTAGCTATTGTCAAATCGGCCCCCAACTCTTGGCAACCCCACGCACAATGGAACCAATCGTTGTGATCCACAGGGTTTTCTTTGTCTGCTTTTCAGAAGTAGAGGGCCAGGCCTTTCTATCCAGAATTTTGTACTAAACCAATCCAAAACCAGACCTGTTGCCTTTAAGTCCATTCTGACTCATAGTGACCCTATGGGACAGAGTAGAACTGCCCCATAGGGTTTCCAAGGAGCAGCTGGTGGATTCAGACAGCCGACCTTTTGATTAGCAGCCGAGCTCTTAACCACTGTGCCACCAGGGCTCACTCATGATTAATGAAATGTCAGTTAATAAATATGATACCATCTTACCCATCAATTTTGATTTTTAAATTGTTATTCCCAACAATTATGTCAATGTAGGTTTAACCTGTAGAGATGAAGTACAACTTTGTATTATCTTTCAGGAAAGAAGTTTGGCTAGTTGGATAAAGAATCTTGAGAAAATTCACAACCTTTGACCAAGAAATTAGTACTAGGGGAATTTTTCCTAAGGAAATAATCAGAGATGATCACAGAATCATTGTATAAGAATATTCATCATAGGATATCTCAGAATTGAATAACTTAATTATCCAATGATATGGAACAAGTTAAATAAATTACAGCACATTCACATAATGAAAACTAGGTAGCCATTAAGAATAATGTTTTATATTATATCTAAGAACATGATAAAATTACTCATAATAACAACAAAAAGACAAAAAACTCAATTTAAAAATGGGCAAACAACTTGAATAGACATTTCATCAAAGAAGATATACAAATAGCCAATAAGCATATGAAAAAAAAATGCTAAACATCATTAGTCATTAGGGAAATGCAAATCAAAACCACAATGAGACATCACTTCACCCCCACTATGACGGCTATAATCAGAAAAATGGAAAACAGCAAGTGCTGGCAAGAATATGGAGAAACTAGGACCCTCATTCATTGCTGGTGGGATTGTAAAATGGTACAGACACTGTGGAAAACAGTTTGATTGTTCCTCAAAAAGTTAAACATAGAACTATCATATGACCCGGAAATTCCACTCCTAAGAGTATACCCAGAAGAACTGAAAGGAGGGATTCAAATAGATACTTGTACACCAGTGTTCATTGCAGTACTATTCACAATAACCCAAAGGTATAAACAACCTAAGTGTCCATTCCCAGGTGAATGGATAAACAAAATTTGTTATATCCATACAAAGGAATATTATTCAGTCATAAAGAGAAATAAGGTTCTGATACATGCCACGACATGGATTAACCTTAAAAACACTATACTGAGTGAAATAAATCAGACACAAAAGGACACATATTGTATGATCCCACTTACATGAAATACCTACAGTAGGCAAATGCATATAGACCACGGTTTATTAGTGGGAAGAGGAAAAGAGGAGTTATTGCTTAATGGCACTGAGTTTTTGTTAAGGGTGATGAAAATTTTTGGAAACGGTTGCACAACATGGAGTACTTATGGGTTTAATATCTAGAATATATAAAAAACTCCCACAACTTAACAAAAAACAAACAAAAAAAGACAACCCAATCAAAAAATGGATAAATGACTTGAATAGACATTTCATCAAAGAAGACATACAAATGGCCAATAAGCACATGAAAAGATGCTCAACATCATTAGTCATTATGGAAATGCAAATCAAAACTACAATGAGATATTACTTCACACCCATTAAGATGGCTATGATTTAAAAAACAAAAACAAAAATGGAAAAGAACAGGTGTTGGCAAGGATGTGAAGAAACTGGAAGCCTCATCAATGGCTGGTTGGACTGAAAAATGGTACAGCCTCTGTGGGAAAAAGTATGGGATTCCTCAAAAAGTTAAATGTAGAATTACCATATGATGCAACAATTTTATTTCTAGGTATACACCTAAAGAATTGAAAGCCAAAACAAACAGATGCATGCATACCATTGTTCACTGCAGCACTTTTCACAATAGCCAAAAGATAGAAACAACCTAAATGTTCATCAGTGGATGAATGGATAAACAAAATATGGCACACACAAACAATGAAATATTACTCGCCATAAAGAGAAATGAAGTCCTGACACATGTTACA